AACATATCAATGATTTATGTGCTATTCAAGTTTTAAATATTTTCTAATGTTTCAATCAGGTTAAACATATCTATCTCCTCCTCATTTATCATCAATGTGTGGCTAAAACAAATACACATAAAATCCTTTCCTGTTTCTATCCCCACCCCTTCATTCTCCTCCCCTGTTTTCCTTGTCCTCTGTCCCCATCCCCATCCCCCCTCCTCCTTCTCTTCTTCCTCTCCTCCTCCTCCTCCTCCTCCTCTTTCTCTTTCTCCTCCTTCTCCTTCTTTTTAATTTGCCAGGCTGGGGATGAAAGCCAAGACCTTGTGCTTGCTAGGCAAATACTGAACACTGAAATATACCCCAGACTTTTAGATCTCCTTGAAATGTACATTAAATTACTGCTATCTATGCTCGCCCTACAATACACAGCACAGTCAAACTTCTTGCTCCTACCTAAATATAACTAGTACACATTGATCACCTTTGCCCCATCCCTCTGTCCTCCAGTACAAAGAGATCAATGAATCACATATTCATGTACAGTGGACCATTGACTTATGAGCTCAGTTTGTTCCCAAGAGCTAAACGTAATTGAAGTTGTTCAATTGCCTTCAAAGTCTCTCTGTACACAGGGAGATATCAGTGTCTTTAGAGAGATATTGGCCAAGGATTTCTCAGTTACCCCACACAGGAAAGTACATTGTGATGTTCCTTCCAGAACTCTGTAAGCGTTAAATATGTATTTGAGACCATCTGGAAACACAAGTAGTCAGCATCTGGGTTTTAACTTACGGCTTTGGTTATAAGTTAAAACTAAAATTATGTCCCAAATTGTTTGTATGTCAGGCCAGTCATAACTCAAGTGTCCTCTGTATTTGATTTCAAGTTCTATCTAATCTTTAAAACACTTCAGTTTGACATTTATTAAAACAGAGGTGTGTCTCTCATGTGACCAAATATAATATTGTTTCATGCTGCCTGCTATTCTTGTAAAACTATGAGACAGCTAATTTAAATTCGTACTATTGATTATATATATGTAGACAAGGTTTATTAAAATTAGGTGATTGACTTCGTTCTATCAATTTGTGTTTAGGGACCTGTCCTGTAGTCAATAAATTAGATTGGCTGTTTTATTCTTTACTGTTTGGAGTTTTCTGAGCTTAGATCAATACTTTGGAAGCAGCTTTCCTTTAACTGACATACAGTCAACAGAAGCTGAACTGAATAACATGGGTGATAATAAAACTTTGGTGGCTTTCCAAGCTGTGATTTTATTTAAGAATGAATGGAAATAAATGTCCTCTAACTTGCCAAATATAATTTACCCATGCAGTATATTATGATTGTTGAAAGTTACACATTCTAATGAGAATGATCTGGACTTAAATCCTGGCACTACTATTTATCAGTGTTTGCCACGAGACAAGTCCAGCTCCTGCTGGGCCTCTCCCAGCTTCAGCCTACTCGTCAGTGTAATAAGAAGGAATTATACCCAAGTTATAACATTGTTTGGAGGATTAAATGAAGCAATATTTTTATTTTTAAAAATTACAAAGGGCAGGTTAGGTAGCTCAGTGGAGATTAATCCTCAGGTCCTCCAAATCCCTCATATAAAAGTACTCAGGCATATAGAACTATTTCAATCATTATTTCTCTCTTCACGGTTATGATTTTTTATTGTTCTATGATTTTGAAATTCTCAGCAAATATCTCCAAAAATTGATTATAAAAAGCATTCCAGTTAACAGTTTTTATGCTGTGGATAAATACATTTTCATGTTTGAGGAGGTGTCAGAGTAAATAAAATTCTAATAGTTGTTATAAATTCCTTTTTTTTTTTTAGGTTAGAAACTTCAAAAACAAATGGCCACCAAAAATGGGGCCACCAATTTGGATGAAACATTCTAATATTCTTTCACAAAATTTCATTGCACTAAAATAGTTTTAGCAAACTGTTGTAAAGACGCCAATAAAGGTATGAAGCAGTACAGAAGATTTAAAAAATGCCAATTAATAGATAAAAGCTGAGGGCAGAAAGAGCTTGAAAATCATGAAATCAAAAATTTTCATGTACATGTAAGAAATTCACTGAGGGTAAGTAAGGAGAAAGCCAATTCCAAGTGTGCAAATCTTCTTACAACCCAGCTTCAACAAATGAAAACCAGAAAAAGCACAGGAAGTCATTTCCCCTCAAAGGAGAATAATTGCTCTGAAGGAGAACTGCAGCTTCCAGTGGCTCATGCCCCAGGGTTGTAAGGGTAGAAAGAATTGGTAATACTAACATCATAGTAAATGATAAATGAACACTTAGTGAATTAAAAACAGCCCAGAGAACCAGCTCCACAGACACAATGCAGAACCCTGGGCAGGAAGGAAAGGAGCAGATCACCAGTGTAGCAACATTTGCAGTTACATCTCTTTTGTTAAGTCATGATCTGATTTATTTTCAAAATTTTAATGAGGTGCACTACCACCGTATTTAACTGGCAAACCCAAAAAATAAAAACAGCAACACATATTTAAAAGACAATATTTTATGATTTGTTACTTGACTCAGCTCCTTTCTTGCCTATGAGCTCAAGTGACTTAATTTAGCCTCCATCCACTCATGTGTACAATAATACCTTCCCCTTGGCATTTGGGTGGAAATACTTGAGACAATATATAGGCTTAATACAATGCCTGGCACAAAATCACTGAATATTAAAACTGGTAGGACTAATCATGAAATATACTCATAAATGTATGTGTACGTTTATCTGGTCTTTTTATGATAGAGGCAAGAGACCACAGATGTGTTTTCCTGGGTATACATTTTATATTCTACTTTTTCTATTTTGTCTTAATCACTTTTAAATATCAACAGAATCTCTTTATAAATATCACATTAGATTGTTCTCCATAATAGTTCATGAGAATTTCTCAACCTTCTTCACTTTCTTCAACTGATAGAAATTTCAGTTGTTTCCTCTCACTTTCTCATAAATAAGGCTAATGAAGATTTCTCCATAAAATTTCTATTGATCTTTCTTGTATTACCCTGAACCTTGCCACCCCTCTCCCAACTACCGCTACCCTATTGACCATCATCCATTCAACTTTAGCCACCCAAAATACCCTAGTAGGCTCCATTTTTAGTCCTGCCTCAAAAAATCTTTCCATATAACTTGGAATTCACTTGGTCCATACAATTATCTCTAGATTACTCACAAGCCTAAAAGTCTATGATTTTAGGCCTTGAAATTTTTCTACCCCTTCAGCTCAGGCCCATCCAACCATAGCCACAATGTTTTTGTTTGTTTGTTTCTGTCTTTGTTATATATGCCAACATCTGTCGTGTCTCAGAACCTTTCACATCTCTTAGCACAATCTGTCCTGGTATCCTCCTCCAGTTATTTGTATGATTACCTATTTATTCTTCTTGTTGGCAATTTAAATATCACATCCCAATAGAACCCATCCCTGCCTACAGCATATAAAGCAGCCCTTTATCTCTCATCCCAATATTGGCAAAGTTATGTCCTAATAATCATTAGTCTTCATTCACACATTCATTCATTCATATTTCTTCTTTTTTTTCCTTTGTCCTACTCTAATGCAAGCTCCATAAAGGCAGAGCCTACAGCTATGTTGTAGCTGTCGCTTGTAGCTCATAAACATCTACTGTGCAATGTGCCTGGCACATTGTTTTGTGTGCAATAATTTTTAAGCAAATGAGCAATATTCATATTTCTATAGAAATTCTGTAAACAAATCAATAAGCAAGACACCAAAAATACAAAAATTCTAACAGCTTTGTTCAAGCCTGAATAAAGCAAGAAATACCAAAATTATTTTAATATTCATGAAATGATAGTTTTCTTCCTGCATTAGTCCTAGACCTCACCATCTTGCAAACAGCCAAAACACCTAGTAAATCAGCCTTCAGCCAGATACAGAAAGAACGTAGAGAAAGGATTTCAGCATAGATGAAGCGAAGATGATCATAACAATCTTCAGAGTACCCAAGTGATTTACAGGTAGAGCCTTCTAGAATTTCAACTAGATCCGTTATAATATTCTGCCTTAGACAAATAACACAGTTCAGGATTCACTCTTGATACTGAATTCTACTCTGAGATGTGGCTTTGAAAAATGCACACACCTTCCCAATTAATGATTCAGGTGACTATATGAAGAGAATTGCTTTTTGACACAGGGACTCTGATTTTCATGAATAAAATTGCGTGTTTTGTGTTTCTGTTATAATTCTTTTTCCTTGTTTCCCCCCAAAAAGAGAGATTCCACTTGTGTCCTCCAAAGTTATTCCTTTCTTGCAGTTTGCAATATTGAACTGGTATTGATTTGCCTCATTCTGTTATTAAAAGTGACTTAAAAGGAACAAAAATCAATATGAACATTGACCATTATCAAACCACCAAAAACTGTCTACCTCATTAAAACCAGATCACAGAGACTATAATAGACTCTAGTTTCAGGAGTTTACTGTCGGGCAAAGGAATGGTTTTGTCCTGAGGTCAAAAATTTCATTTGTGCTGCAAATCACTTTACTTCCAGTCACTGTGCAAAAGCCTGTGTATGTTGATCAAGGATTTTGGATGGCTCCTGCTATCTGTGCCTGTGCCAGAATCTTTGAAGAGAGCATTGTTCTTGTGCAGTGAATTCCAGTTCAGAGCAGAGCAGACTATTCTTTCTCCAAATGACTCATTTAGAACCAAGCTTTCTGTGTAGAGTTTCTTCGACCGGGTATCCATTTAGTTTCGCTGTGTATTGTGATGTGTGTATGTGCGTTTGTGTCTGCTTGTGTTTCTTCATCTTGAGATGTTGTGGCTTACTTTGAGGAGTACTCTGTACTATAGCTCATGAACAAAAATGTGACAAAGGCCTTGTGAATTCAAAGCTTCCATAGATTTTCAGATAAAGTTTCCTCCCTGTTCTCCTCTCTGTTACTTTGTATTCAGAGAGCTTCAAGTTTGGTGCCAATTAAAACACCAGAGCGTTACAGTGTTCAGAGAGACAACTGATTTCACCACCTCTGCAAACACAGTTATTTTCATTTTAAATTTAAAAAATTTCTTAGAGCATTTTTCATTGGACCAACCTGAGGGGGCCGGTCTGGCTTCCTTGGCAATAGATTTTACTACTTGCTACAAATAAGGAATCATTTGTGATGTCTACAGAATTTGAAACCTTCGCCACTTTGAATCCTGCTTTCAAATGTCCTTTTGCAAGGCCTGCCAAGAGCAAACTCCTGTGTAGAGAGCCAGTGTTTCATTTGCAATTGAAAGAGACAACTCCTATCATTGAATGTGGTTTTTAATGGAAGGGAAAGAGCAAAAGTTGGAAAGGAAGAAACTCGATGAAGAGTTGAGGAGATAACTGTGAGTGTCATTGTTCTTAAATTTTTATTTTTTCTTAAATATTCAGTGCCTGTCATGTACCCTTTGGCTTATGATTGTGGGTGGCTTAAATTCCAACTTGTAAACCGGGTCACTTACACTCCAAATGTAGGCGGGAGCTTTTTCACATCTGAAGTGAGAAGAGTGGGAGCCTCCCCCACTAAGCAGGCTTAAGGATTGACCTTTAATTCATCACCGCAAGGAAGTCTGGCTTCTCAAAGGAGAAGAAGTCAGTCTAGTTCTGGCATAAAACAAAGAACTTGCCAGCAAAGCCTCGGGCAGAGGCAGGAGTACTCAGTATAGGAGAAAGCACAGGGTACACAAATGGCGCTGGAGCAAGGACCGAGAATTTAGGAAAGGAGGCCACTGATGGCCAGGTAGGGACCCTGGAAGGGTGGGGTAGGGGAAACACATAGAACAAATGGATGAAACTCTATGGCACAAAGAATAATATCTTTTTTCAATTATGTAGCTGGGAAGGGTGGAACCATTTCAGCTACTTTTGCAGGTCTTACACAGTAGTTTAAGTGTTTAACCATCCTAAAAAGGCATTAGTGAAAAAGAGGCCATGTTTTAAAAAGAAATTTAATTACTAATACCAACCAGAAAAGCAGGTGCAGCTTGGGCCTGCCCCTAATTACCCAGATTTTAGATCCAGATTACTAACTGAGGTGGTGCATTTATATAATGTGCACATAAAGAGCACCAGCCTAGGGAGGAAGGGGCAGAGCTGTTTAGGCCTATGATGCTATTGATCAGTGGTGAGGCTTGGGGACAGGCAGGTCACTTTCTGGGCCTCAGGACCTTTGCCTTCTGAGAAAAATGGTGTAGTGCAAAAAAAGTGCTTAAGCTTCTAAATTGGGCCAAATGGGTGAACGCCCTAACTTGTATGCTCAACAGCTGTGTGATCTGACCGGCTATTTCAAATCTCCAAGCCAGATTCCATCTGTTTTGATTCAAATAATCAGGCCTGCTTTGCAGGAATGGGTGCAGTAGATTAAGAAAGAATATATGGGTTTGGCACAGTGTAGGTACCGAGCAAGTGATAGCTATTATTTGCCTAAGGAAGAGATGGGGTGACATTTCTGATTCCTTCTAGCCCTTACAGTTTTCTCATACCCTAGATTATTGTTAATGATTTGAAAATTTCAAGTATGTGTATATTCACTAGAATTACACAAAATAGATGAGACTCTGTGTCTTTAGTAGAGCTGTGATGCTGATTTCACCAGTTTATTTCAAAAAGAGAACACAGTCACTGGACCATATGAAAACAATGTGCCATGAGAGAAATTAATTCCCTAATGGGGACTTTCCAGAATATTGCCACTATGCATCCCTGCTTTCAAAAATGATACAAGATAAAGTGCCTCCTTCTCTCAGAATATGACTTTACAATCCAACTATTTTTACTGTCAGGAAGCAGTTTCTTCATTCTCAGTCAAAAAATGTCTCCCTAATTCCAGCTTAAACCATACTAAATATTTCCTTCTTCTCATTGATTTGCTGGATATCTATCTATCTAAAATAATCCTTCATTTGTGTATTTGTTTGTGGGGGGGATCAGTTGAATGCATTTCATCCAGAGCTTTCTTTTGGTCTTTTTTTTTTGGTAATGGGGATTGAACTCTGGTCCTTGAGCTGGTGAAGTAAGTGGTGGAACCACTGAGCTAAATCCCTGGCCAGTCCAGAGCTTTCTTACCAAAGATACATTTGTAATTTTGCACTCAGCATTTGCTGTGCTTCTTTGCCACTGGAAATGCATGAATTAATTGGAATGCCACTAACCTTCACTTAGCCAAAAATCCCTTAATTGTAGGCTTTGAGGAATAGGAAACATCCAATGATAAAGATCAGCGATATGAGAAACTTATTTAAAAGGACAAGGAAACCTTCTAAAATTCACCAAGGCATCACTTGAGCTTAATGATACACATAGTTCCTGATGCTCAAGGGTCACCAGGACCTTACATATCTTCATTTTTAAGAGATCTACAGGATCTGAGCAAAACTATAATTTAAAAAAAAACTGTTTATGGTGCCTCTCAATATGAGAGAAATGATTTTAAAATTTGGAAATAATTTTAAAAGCAGGGTAAAAATTGAAACAGTTCATTGTTTTTGCTGTCGATTTGCTTGTTTGGTTGGTTCTCGAAATTATTTTTTTCCAGAGTGATTAATTTTTACTGTTGTGTTGTTTTTTCTTTCAGATATTATCAGTTGAGTTTTTCTGATTCTAGGGATACCTGAAAAAAAGAATTAAAAATTGATTTTTCATATAATCAGAAGTTAAGGGGTAGAAAAGTCTTCATGGTTGGTGGAGCCAATGACTTACAATGCCATCCAAGACACAGATTGTTTTCATCTTCCACCTCATGATTGTATTTTAGGGATGGTAGCATCATGGGTTAAGCAGTTCTAGAAAGCTCATCATATATGTAATGTCTAAAGGAAAGTGAAGCACGTAGATTTTCAAGGAAATTTCAAGTCTTAGTGGGTAGTGATGGGTCATATGCCCATTCCGGAACCAGTAACTGATAAAGGGCACTTAAAACAATCAGGTTCAGACAAATGACCTATGCATATGGTGATAAAAGGCATTCTCCTCATCCGTCTCGATGTTTAAGTTTGCTGAAATAAACTGACAATAGGCAGGTTAGCAGGAGAAAAACCATTCAAAGTTTTAACATACATATGTGCCCAGGAGCCACATAAAATATGAAACTTAAAGAAGGGCCAGTGGGTTGAATTTCTCTCATAAAGTATGGAAAGCAATAGGGGCTTGGGATCCCAGAAGATGATGGCAACCAGTTATGGGAAGGTGGAGGAAAAGAAATGTACTGCCAACAAAGGTTTTGTCCAATTATGCAGAAAAAGACTCAGGACAACATTCTCAGATTATGTGCTATCTTATGTGTGTCTCTCCTTCCTGTTATTTAACTAGTGAATATTTCCTATAAAGAAGTAAATTTTCTTTACAAAGGAGCAAGTTTTAAGGGCTATTCTTGGGTCTATCATTTATCTGGATAGACATCTCAAAATGTGACAAAGAATTATATTTTGATGTGAAAATAGTCTAGTCTGTGATTATGACAAGAAAATATCAATTGAAGAGTGAATACAGAGTGGAAATCCAGTGATGTCTCACACCATACCATAGTCCAATAGGATTCTTTAAATTATATTCTGATATCATCACCAAGTCAAAAATAAATGATGTTTTACATATTCTAGAACAATATCCATAGGAAGTAGCTGCTCTGATGATTTGAGAGAATTTTTAATTGTATTGAACCCAGCAGTTTTATTGCTCTTGTCATTGATGAGCTGTTTGTTTTTCTGATTTAAATCAGGATTCCTTGAACATACAGCTTATTAAATTCTCAACCACCTTTTCACACAAACTTCATATGGTACTGTGCTGTTACTATGTGTTTCTGTGAGAAGGAGATATTTATTAAGTAATATGGAACAAGATCAGGCTTTGCACTAAGCATTTTATGCATTTATTTTATCAGTTTCAGACACTTCTATCTAACAAATTGTTACCTTTCTCTTTTAAAAAAACCCATTTGCCTCACTAAATGCCCTAACTTCTTCCCCTTCCCTCTGAGTGCCCGTGGTATCGGAATTCTTGCCAGTACAAGACACAGAGAAATCTTCTGGGGTGTCCAGGAAAGGCCAATGTGGCTCCGGTAAAAGGCCCATTTCTTTGAGTTTTTATTATGTGTATTTACTCTCCACCATTTATATGATATTTATCTTAAATATTTCCTATATACATGTCTAGAGTCACATCAGTATCTAATTTCCTTTCAAATATAAACCATACTTTAGAAAACTCAAAAGGGGAAGGGAACCCTATCGGATTTACCCAGATTTGCAGAACATGTGTTGTTTCCCTTTCTGATGTTCCAGGGTTACTTCTTTCATTTTTCCCTTCTGTTTAGGAAACTTCCTTCTGCCTTTCTTTTAATGGAGGCATGATGATGACAAATTGTTACTTTCATTACCTGTGAACATCTTGATGTCTCCTTCATTCCTGAAAGATGTTTATTTAGTTTTTCTTCTCATTGAGTTTATTGGTACATTTTAGGTAGACAGTACAGTTACAGACATCATTGGGATCTTGTACCTTTGCACGACAGTTCTTGGTTCTCATTTTTTCCCCATTCCCCTGCCATCCCTTCACCCCCTCCTCCCTTTCCTATGTACAAAAACTTTATTGCCATTTTTTCATTTTCTCGTATGTTTTTCTTTTCCCTTATTTCCTTTCCCATACCCTTCCCACTCTGAAAGATGTTTATATTGGCTTGGGGATTCTGGGTTAGCAAAGTTTTAGTTTTTCTTTGCAGAGAAAGAAAAAAAAAATCCATCATTTCTTTCTGTCTGTGGTTTCTGATGAGAAATTTGCTGTCCTTCAAGTGATTGGGAGGGGGCAGGTAAAAATACCATTTTCCTCTCACACCTTTCAAGATTTTTAGTTTGTATTTGCTTTTCAGAAGTTTAATTGTGTTGTGTGCTGGCGTGAATTTCTTTGTGTTTTTCCAGTTCTGTGTGTGATCTGACTGTTGAGTCTTGAGATTTATGTCCCTTGCTAGATTTGGGAGTTTTTAGCCATTATTTATTTGAGTACTCTTCCAGCTCTGCCTCTTCCTCATCTTTTTCCTTTCACCTGACAATAGGGATATTAGATCTTTTGCTATACTCTGTTAGATCTCTGAAGCCCTGTTTATTCAGTCTATTTTTTCTCTGTTGTTTGCACTAAGTTCTATCATTCAATCTGTTAGCTCACTTCTCCCTTTTCTTGTCAAGCCCATCAAATGAGCTTTTTATTTATTTTTTAGTATCCTTCAGTTCTAAAATTTCTATTGTTACTTCTTTATATCTTTTATATTTTTTTTATAAAAGAGCTCTGTTTTCCGTGTTTCATGTATAGTCAGGATTGTTCATAGAAACATTTTCTTTTTGTAGTGTTGATA